AACTTTGTACAAATGTATATTAGTTACATAGTAGTTCAAATAAATAAAAGCAGGACTGCTTAAAAAAAAAAAAAAAAGTAATAAAGGTTAAAAAGAAGCAATTAAAATTTATACAAAATATTTGATATAGAATGTGTATTTGTATTTCTATCAATCTATAACATAATTTTAACTGCATGGGCTTTGTTAATAGTATTTAAAAATAGTTTATTAACCTTTGTAGTAACTCTATTTTTAAGTTCTAATTATCTTCTGTTACTGGATAGCAAAATTCTGATTATAAGATTAATTCAAAGTATGGTAATATTGTCTGTTATTGTAAATAGTTTAGAAACATCTAAATAAAAGAATTTATTCATAATAGTAGAATTAGAATAATTATATTCACTACTAAAATAGAGTTTCTTATCAATTAGAACTGAAGAATATTTATATCTTTCACTTAAAATAAAAGCAGAAAAAGTAAAAATAAAATTTAAGAAAAAAGTGAAAATATAAAAATTAAAAGACAACATAATTATGTATTAAGCTAGTTGTCAGCACATATTTGATCAGTAAAGAGAAGATCTTTTGGGATAAGTTAACATTTATAGAATTGTAACTAGAAGACTTAAGATAATGAATATTATAATTATCTTTTTATAGGTATTGTGAAAGCATTAAATTAAAATCATACAAGGTGAAGAATTACTGGTGATATTGATGAAATTTAATTGCAGTTTGCAAAAATATGAAAAGAAATCAATGATTTCTGATTCTGATTTTTGATTTTAACATTTTTTTTTTAGGCTTTTAGATTAAACTTTATAGCAGTTTGCAAAAAGGTATGACTCTGTGATTTCATTATGATGATAGTAGAAACTTTCTAAGATTTTAATTTTCTATTTTTGATTATAGCATTTTGCAAAAAAGATATGACTCCATGATTTTTGTAGTTATGTATGAAGAAAATTTTAGAGATTCTTAATTGTATATTAATTCATATTTTTGATTAGTCATATTTAAAATCTACAGAATCTCTAATTTTCATATGACATCATGATCTGCAAAAGACACCTTTTTGCAAAGCACAATAATAATATCTATATTATATTTAGAATCTTTAAAATTTTCTAAAATTCTAAAATCAGCCAATTTCTCGTGATTTTATATGAAATTATGATCTGCAGAAGTTATATCTTTTTGCAAACCGCTATTTCACTATATAGTTGATTATTCCAATAATATAAAATATAATATTTCAAGAGGTATAAAATTTAGAATATATACTATTTATTGCTTGATAATTTAACTTTTTAACTATAAATTTTAAATCTTAAATGAATACTACAATATGCCAATTGCTACTCATAGAAATATTTAATAAATAAAAGACTTTCTGAATTATATTTTGAATTAAACTGATTACATAATTCATATAGATCTAGCATTATAATCTTAGTAGTTAATGTGATCAATATAGTAATGTAGTAGATCATCCCAATGATGTTATGGATTAATCACTAAAACTTATATTATAGCAACCATATTACCTAATCAATATAATTAGTTAAAAAAGTTAGCTATATAAATATAAATTTTATATATAAATGAAAATATAATATAAAAAGAATTATCTAAAGTAATAATTAATCACTTCCTATTTAATAAGCATAAGTAATATATATTTATCAAGAAAAAACTTCAAATTAGATTATTTATTAGTATAATGGCTAGAGCTATGATTATGTACTACCAAAGATATAGAAGTTAATATAGCAACTCCAATATTCACCATTATCAGTTTGAGCATAAAGATTGACTTTTATTTTTTATAGCACCAATTAAAGCCTTAGCACTATTTAATTATTGTAATACTTCTTATTAATATAAACTTACTAGAATATATCACTTATATGCTATATCTCTAAAGATATAAAAAACAAAAAATATTATTAAAAAATGATATTGGGTAACTGATCATTATGTGTCTCTTTCCTGCATATAATAGTCATAGTCATTCCTTTTATACTACATCCATGAGGTAAACTAAAAAAAAAAATTATCTATATAATTGTTAAAAGGACACTCATGGTAAAATAAATCTATAATTTTTTTGAGTCGATTTGCTATTTGAAGAATTCATGTTTGGATCCATTTTGTAGACTTGTAATAGATTTGGTATAACAGATCTAATAAAAATAAATGATTAATAAAAATAATAATAATGATAATAACTAACAAAATGATTCTTAGAACTATAAAACTATAGTTTTGAAGGATCATTTTGTTAACAAGCTTTTATATTAACTTATACTGTTCAGAGAATCTGCTATAAATTTACAAGTTGTAGTGCTGCAGTGAAAAACATGTTTGTTTTCTTTAAATTCAGATTGAGACCAACTAAAGCTAACTTTGTAAAAACCTTCATTGTCTATAAATAAAACGTATTCTATAGTTCTTAGTTTTGGATCTTGTCTAACATTCCAATAATCATAATTAACTAATTGTTTCAATCTTTGTTCTCCAGCTTCACTCTGAAAAAACACAAATATTTTTGTTACACAGGACTATACCAGAAAGAAGACTCATGTTCAAAAAGATAAACAAATATATTTTTAGAAAAAGCATTTATAAAAACTTGTTTTGTGTTTACTAAATGCTTATTAAAACCTAGATGTTTTTTAATAAGAACTATAAATGCATTTTGATAAAATGTAACTTGCTCAAAAAGAGGTTAAAGAAATGTTTTTGGTGAGATATAATTTTATTATTTCAGTGCTTAATTCTTTTATAAGTAACAAGATCTTTTTGAGAAGAAAAAATCTCTTGACCAAGTTGGCATTTACTAGCCATAATGAGTCTAATACATAAATATTTCTTGCTTAATAATTAATTGGAGAACTAGAAAAGATAGTAGAAACTTAGGTATTCTAGATATTACCTGTTGTCTTGGTTTAGAATAAAATGTAGATTGTACAAGTGCTGATGTTTTAAAACCACACTAAAGACTCTAATAATTGTTCTTAGAGTTATTGTTAACAATATATTTGGGTATATATTATAGTATTAATCAAAATTTGAAATATCACAATTAAATTTTTTAATTGATTTGATTGGTTAATAATATGTTTTGATTATCATATATGACAAAATTGACAATATCGAATATATAAGCAATGTGAATGTGATAATTTTAAAAAAAGAACCTCGAATAACTAAAGTAATAAAATTAATTAACATGTGACAGAATAAATTCCGCATACGCAATTCATCAAGTTCTTTATGCGTAAAAATCTGTCCAACAGAACCATTCGGTAATAATACCATTTTCGAGAAACGTTTAGATGAATCATTAGATTCAAAGCTTTACTCCCGATTTCAATTTCCCATTCTGTCTCATTTCATATAACCATGTGCATGTTTACACGTAATATTACAGCCACGTAGATATTGATGCACATCCGTCAGTTAAACATTGACCCAAGTCTGTCTGATGAAATCGTGATTTTTTACTTGAGAGTTTTCATTATTTCATGCAGTGCATCCACTTCATTTGTTCATTGTCGGTATAATAGGTCATGTTATCTGTCTGGAAAAATGGATCAGTTAATAAATTTGTTAACAAATAAAGATTCATTTGCATAATCGAAATTCCATATGCGAGGCTATGAGCCCGACTTCTCGATTTATTAAAATTTCGTTATGTCGCAGGTATTGTTTTGACAGAATGTATTATCAGATAGAAAAAATTTGGAGATTAAGAAATTATGCATGTGTGATCTGTTGTACGACAATCTGATTGTTTGTATAAACTATAAAAAGGGGAGATGTACGACTTACTAAAAAAAATTTTTTAACTAAACACAAATAAACATGCAAGTACTTCCCTCCCTACCATTGAACAAATAAAGGAATTACGAACTACCGACAGTTTGATCAAATGTTTAAGTGAACACATAAATCTTACGGAAAAAACTTTACAAGCTCTTCGTAACGAAGAAGTTTATGGTTCAGCCTTGCTTCAGTCGAGTCAAGAAGATCTTGAAAGATGGAGAGTACCAGGTGGGCCAGCAAAAGACATCATGGGCTTAATTAATAAAATCAAGGGCGAGGACCAGGGTAAGTAGTACCACGACCGCATTCGAAGACACAAAGTGTCGAGTCTCTGACTCATATTCCAAACTTATACTGCTTTCTCCGCAATAATTTCATAATTTCATTTGTGCCTCATACATTTATTCCTGCTATATAGAACAAAAGCTTCAAGGTTTGTTAATTTATGTAATCCTAATTCACTAAAGTAATATATCCTTGTACTGAAGAAACATGGAAATAACTAACTATTTTATTTTTCTATGATGCCTTTTTCTTTACTGCTACTGAACGCGAAAAAAAATAACCAACTTATGTGTATTATCTCCTCCATAATAGTAGCTCCCTCCATATTATTAGCACCGGAAGGTAAGTTCTAATTTTTCTAACCCTCCCTTTTTCTTTTATTCTTGCTCTTACGTTCCTACAATATTTCATTATCTTAGATATTACTCTTGAAATAATAAATCAGTTAATCCGAGGCCCTGATCAGCTTCCTAATAAATTTGACTTGGCAAATTTCCTTAACGAAAGTCCTCCAGTAAAAATACCACTTGCACCTAATCATTATTTCCAATTTAATACTAGCCTGGGCGGTATAACTAAAGAAGAGCGAGATACATATTTTGTACTAAGTACAGAAGCGGAATGCACTTCACTTTATTTAAGACTTATAGCACCGTTAATTTATCCACCCTCATATGGAAAAACTGAAGACTCGTATCATTGTTTATGGGATAGTGTTATTAAAAATACGATAGAGACATTTGGGATGCATAGCGGTAGTTTGTCAAAATTGGAATTTGATCGCAATACGAGTAAACGAGGTAAATTTAGTAGTATAGATTGGTCGGTATGATGCATATTAACAAAAAAATTCATAGGTCGCAATCGCCCGGACATGGTGGTATTAGTGGGAAATGTTTGTCCTTTCCGAGGTGAAGAGAAGTCCCGGGAAGACTCAGGAGATCCTTCAAGTGAATTGGTTGATAAAATCGAAGATTGGTCTTACGGAGATGCTCCATATATATTTGCATACTATGCTATTGGTGTTCAAGTCACATTGGTTATTTTGTATAAGCCTGAAAATAAGAAGAGAAAACTGAACGTTTGTTCTGAAAAAATTGCAGAATTTGATTTAGGACGTTTGTCGGATAGAATTCGCATCATGAATTTCCTTCGAAATATTTGTAAGTACCTTTATGAGCTTTAAATTATCATAAATCATAAAACACTAATTCATTATATGGTTATTTAGGTCGTCTATTACCTCTTATAGCGAATTTATGCCCTCCGAGGGAATCGCCAGAATTTCAAACAATTTTTCGACCAAGTGGAACTGTTATTGAACTTGGGTATACAATTAAAAAAAAATTTGCGGACGAAAGGCAAGTTACTCATTTAAAAGAAATTTATGGAATGCTAAGCGTAAGTTCGAAAATTTCAAGAATTTTACCTTTTTTGGATACATTCTAACTATTTGTCTAGGCAAATAATATTAGATTTTCCGACAAATTAGAATATGCATCTACACATTCTGTTAATTTGGCACCACGTGGGGAACAACGTGAACCAAATGATCTCAAAGAATTACTGCAGGCATTAATTTGTACACTAACTTGTTTGAAGGTAGAGTTTGCAATATTTTCACTATTACGTATATATATTATATTTATACATGTTTATAATATTCAAACAGGGTATGCACGAAATCAAGCCCCAACCGATAATGCATAGAGATGTTCGATGGCCAAACATTATTCGTCATTATGACGAATATCAAAAATTTATTTTAATTCAGTCGGGCACATTACCAAAAATGGGCAATGTAGATCACCCCTTATATAGTAAAGAAACGCAGATCGGACGATTCTTTTTCGTTCGATTACACAAATCAAAAGCTGAGTTATATCTCAGAAGCTGGGTTATATGTTAATAAGCTAATCAAATTGTAAATTTCGAATAGCAAAACATATTCTTTTTTCAGGTCTTATACATTTTCGCTCAAAGAGTTGATCCTGAAAAGATCAGTACAGATCACAAAACTATGAACGCTTTGCTTTTCGTCTATAAAATTTTTTTTCGCAAACATATATGGCAAAAAGCCACAAAATGTAATCGAAAAATGTGGCTATAAGCCAATCAAAATTAAATGGAACGATCTAGAATCGATTTCCATTTTTGGTAATGTGCCTGACTGTAATTGACTTTGACTATGCTACCTTTTCCCCTGCCGTTGAGCCTTTACAAGAATTTTCTGAAAGTGATCATGCTCCGGAAATGCTAAATAAAAAGCATGATTTTAAGGTTGATATTTGGGGTGTTGGGAATTTAGTCGGTTTATGTAATGTCACAGGTATTCCTTCAGAACTTTCAAGCTTCAGCACAGATTTGTGTAAAAGTAATCCAAATGAACGACCAACTGCTTCAGTTGCTCTCGATCGGGCAAAAAATATGTTTAGAGAGGTAATTATTTATAAACCGGTTAATATATATTTGTTTTTTTGTCTGTAATATACCTTAACAAAGTTTAAAAATTTAGTGGTTTACGAATGATGATTGGCTAGAAAGGATCGAAACCGAATAACTGGCTTAAATTTATAATGGTAGAATTACTGAACTTTATTATAAAAGCAGGGTTAGAAAAAATATTATTAGCATATTAGTAATAGGAATAATTAATTTACTTTTCTATCGTATCAATAAAGCTTGCCCTGGTGGCCGATTTTTTGCATATATAACCATGTTCACTTTTGCATGTGTATTTCGTGGGTTTATTTTATTGCATTGATATATATTTGATATATGATCGAGAATTTTTCTTTGTAAATTTGAACGGCATGAGATCTTGCAAAATTTCTTGGCATCGGCGTGAAGAATTCTTCACGCACACGTGATTTTTTACTCGCTAATGTTTTTTCGTATGATTAATTGAACATATCCGTATTTTGTATAAAAATAATGGCAAACACACAATCTAAAATTAATTTATTAGAAGAACAGATTTCCAAGCTTATAGCCGAGATTGATACACTTAGACGGGAAAATGCGGGAATACCAGATCTTAAAAAAGAAAACGCAGAGATTAAAGCTGAAAACATTGAGCTTAAAGCTGAGAATGTAAAATTAAAACAAGCTTTGGAAGAACATGAATCCAGATTTGTGAAACTGGAGCAGAATGATAAAGATACTGCTGTTGAAAATGCTGAGCTTAAAGTTAGAGTTGCAAAATTAGAACAGAAGCAATCGCAAACTGATGAAAAGAGCAACTTTATTGTCTCACGAAATGAGGATGCTCTTGCATCTAAAACAGATGATGATACCAAGAGAATCGATCAATCTTCAGTTAATACCACCTTTACCAAAATGGAAAATTCTAACGATACTCATGAACAGTTAGACTTACAATGTGATGATATTCCTGTATCTGATATAACTAATAACGCTTCAACTTCTGATAATGCACCAAATTCTGATGTATCTTTTAAAGATAAAGAGATCGAATTTCTGGAATGGGTACGTAAAGAACAGATTAGAAACGAGGTTAGAGAAAGAAAACGGGAAAAGCTAATACGAAATAATAAAGCATCCGCTTATCGAGATCAAGAACCGATTTAAAAGAATTTTACACCCAAAATCGATCAGAATGTTTTGGAAGAACCTATTAATCAAACACAAAATACCATTTCTTCCGAAATAAAAATTCCCTATAATAAGAAAGTAGAACAAGGTTTAATCTATGAGTTATTTGAATTTATTAGAGACACCGATCCCATGTCCTTACGAAATCTAAAGAAAATTCCATTGAATTCTATCTTCATTAAACAAATTTCGGACATCCCTGTTGATATAGATCTAACTTCAGGTTCCATACCTCATTTAGCTCATTTATTTGGCAAGGCCGAAAAAACTGGACGAAAAGAAAAATTGCGATAGTATTATTATAGTGAAGAATATGAAAAAAGAGTTTCAAATCTTAGTTCAGAAAAAAATATTAGTGATCAAATGGCGAGAACGCAAATTTATGATGAAATGATGCAATATCTGCTTGGAATCAAGAGAGAATATTTGCGTAAGATGACTCAAAAGGCTAGAACTATCTATATATTATTCAAAGGGATAGGAACAGATAAAATTGAGTACATTTCATATAGCGTCGATGCTATTTCTAGTTTAACTGGTACACAAATTCAAAATATTATAAGTCTTTATACTGAAAAATTAGATGCGCAAGTATCATTGTTAGAATCTCAAAAATTGATCGGCGTGAAGAATTCTTCACGCGCACACGACCAACCGAAATCTGATAGCGAAGAAACTTTATCAGAAACAAAGGTACGCCTTTCAACCACTCCATCTATCCCATTGTCTCATACCTCTAATTCGGAAAACGAGGACGGGAATAAGAATAACGATATAAATACAATACTTTCTGATGACGAAGAAGATGTAGGTTATTACTATGATTTAGGTAGCAAAAATAAAGCAGAGATAAGCAAGGAAGTTTCACGAAGTGAGGATGCTCCCACATCTGAATCTTTACTGGAGACTAAGATAAGTGCATCGTCTAATCCAACTTATGACCATACTTATTTCTGTAATAAAATAATAGAACAATATCCTAATTTATATAAAGATGGTAATAGTGAAAGTGTAGATTATTACGGAATTGCTGATGAGACATTATGTCCTTTATGCAAATTAGATCATGATGACGATGAAGATATAGAAGGTAGATATAAAATTGGATCCTATTATATTAAATGTGAACAGCGAGGAATTGAAATTGAGGTAACAGCATGAATTTTAGTTGCCATAGGCAACAGCTCCGCTATCTTATGCTAATACAATTCGCTTAAGTCTTTAAGGTGTCTCTCTAAGGCATGTTTATTTTTTGTTAGATATTGTTAATTTAAAGAGACGTGCAATTATCAGTTATATAAAACGGGAGCATGAATACACAGGCCAATAAAACATTAACTCCTGAATATTTGGAATGGCATAATAAATTTACTGGATTACCAAATGTTTTAACAGATAATATTCGTTCCAAGTTATATAAGAGATACAAGAAAGAAACTGGTCTTGATCCCTGGATAAACTTTGAGACCTCTGAATCCTCCCAAATTGAAGATAGCAGTAATTATATCCCACGAGACTGTATTATCAAGGTTTCTAAATTTCCGGAAGAGAAAAGTACAATCCATGAAGCAGTACATAAACGCTTCCCTTTCTTGTCATATACTAAATCGAATGCATGGTACCGAGATGTTTTTAAATATACAGATCCGGAAGCTAAATGTCCGATATGCAAAGAAGTACATACTCGTTTAGGTATATGGGGCGACTGGAGCTGTCTCAATAAAAATGATCATTATTTTCTTAATTGCCCTTTTCGTATCGATCAAAAGAAAGTTATAATCGCTATACAGAGCACACCAGAAATTCAAGTAAATGTACCAAACAAAACCTGCCTTTATCAGCCAGAGGCAGGCTTACGCCAATATGCCATCGAGCATAAAATGGATCCCGAGAAATTTTCGGTCATTACTGAAGCTGAGAAAAATAGATGGGCCATGGGGTGTTTTCCTGCTGACTTAGAGAGAGATATACGGTTCTATCAAGGCGGAATAGAGAGGAATGAAGATACCAGAAAATATCACAAATTTTTAACAGATCGGGATAGGCTGGTTGGTGAAGAGTTATTACGTCATGGTATACGAAAGAGTGGTTTAAGTACTACATGGCTCGATAACCTTATGGAAAAATGGGGAAAAATCCATACCCAATTCATACAAATTTTTAATTAGGCATAACCAGGTACAAATGCCTTACTTCGCTAGTTATATATTATAGTTTTGGTCAAATGCATGTTAAAATAAAAAATAGTGAGCCCAGCGAACCCTCTCCCTTTATTATTATAAAAAATTATATTGCCGACACGACAACATAATATACAAATAAAAAAATATATATATCGCTGTTACAGGTGCGAATACAAATAAAAAAAGTTTAATGGTCTTTTTTTACAAAATACTGCGCAAGGTTTGTATTTTCCATTTTCACATGCCCTCTCTGTGCTTCTAATCTGAAAATTTTTTGATTACCTACACACAACTCATAGCTATTTATCCAAGTTATAAGATAGCTTTTTTGACTCTTAACTTCCACAGGTGATATTCTATTTTTAGTCATCTTATTTATAAATTTCACTTCCTCTATAGCGTTAATTGGACTTTCATTTTCATCTACAAGAATAACCCTTGCGACATCTTCGTTTAACTCTTCGACCTTTACTCGGATGTTATCACAACCAGTATCAAAGACTCTTGTCTCTCCCGCCTTATATGAGAAAATATTTGTGGACATCACGACTGTTAATAAAAACAAGGCTATTAATACATGAACTTATGATAGTGTTTTCTGACCAGCTCTGCTAAAAAAACATTACCTTAGAACTAAATTGCAGGTAACTTATGTTAAACTTTTTTTCAAAAAATATATGAGCAAAAAATAACGTTATTGCTAACTTATCTTACAGTGAAACCTTGCTTATTTATACCGTCCATTCGCTAGATCTAGAGAACCTGCCCAGAAGGAAAGTTACGTGATTAGTAATTGTGTTAGGATAATGCAAACTAGATCCCACCATGTAAAGCAAGTCTATTCGGTTATAAGTTCCAAACACTGAATCTATTTTGTTATTTTTTAGGTGAAATTAAACCCCTTAGATTTGACGATCGCTTAAGGTAGGTTTAGATCTGACGATTTCGGAGATGGCGGAGATTCGAAGTCCCTGTAACATATGAATTTTGATTAAACTACTGATAAAGAACGTTATATTCATTGTCCTTATAACCTTTTTAAGCCCCATTCTTATCGCGGGATCATATATAAGGGTCTAGTTATTCGTAAAATTAGTTAAGGCTAACAGTTAAAAAATCGACGTTGGGGAAGTAATTATGCATTAAGGTAATACCACATAAAATTTAATGCTGGCCATTGATTATTAAAGCCGGTAAACTTTTAATCTGATAAACATGAATATTAAATTTTCGCCATTTTAGCTTCAACCTAAAAGTGGACCCGCGGGACCGGAGTCATATGATAGTATGACATATACGTACGTACTTAATTTTTTTCAGCACGTATCGCATTTTGGTAAAAAAAAAAGGGATGCTAGATGTTGGATCAACATGGTTTGATATTACTGTATTATAACGAAGTGCATACCGGTTATTATAAATTTGTAAATCAGGCTTAAATATATAGCGTGTAAAATTATTATCCTACCCCGTATAAGTATACCTGCTCAACAGGTTATTAACGATCTAATCCCAAATATAGAAAATATGCGATTGTTGGCGTGTTTAATAATTGTAGTGCCGAATATAGTAAATATGCAATTGTTAGCGTAGAAATTATCGTGTTAAATAATTATGACGTAAAACAAAGCGACGTGTGATTGTTTTATGAAGTGTTAAATTATTGTGGCGACACGCGATTGACTTTAATACTGAATATAACAAACATATTATTAGTTTGTTGTATAAATTCCCTAATAAAAGGGTTTCTTTCGATAAAGAATCTAATTTATTTGCTTTTCAACCCATCAATATTTACCTAATATTTTTTTTACCTAAAACAACAATTACAATGCGAACATCAAATAATAAACGAAAGGGAGAGGTCATTATATCACAGGATGAACCCACTAAAACCAAATTCTCAAGACAGGCCCGTACACGTAAAAATAAAAAACTTAGGCGTGAGCAGAAACAAACCGAGATGCTTCGTAGCCCGAATGATGATATTCTTCCAGTAATCGATGATATTACATTCGATCCATCCCGGGTATATATTGTCTATAGTATAGCCAAAATTGCTTCTTCTTGTTTGGTTGTTTTTGTGTTGATAGGATAGTCACCAGAGCTATTTGTTACAAGTTTGCTTCGGCAAGTTGTGTGATTTATATACGCACAATCTCCATGCTCTATTTGAGTGGGTAGCTTAGTACTTTGGCGAGGTGCCTTATTCGTTCCAGAAAATATGCAATCCTTTAGAAAAAAAATCATCCATGCTTATTTTTACATTATTATATCAATACATTTTAAACTTATTAAAAATTTTAATAATTTTTTTACTAGCATAGAATCCAATCTGCCACTCGAAAATTGTCTGCTATTGACAATATTTATTACTTGGAAAGGGAGTGGACAAGTGTTTCTCTCTGTCCTTTTGATAGGATATCTCCTAAAAAAAATAAGACCAAACACAATATATCGGCTAAGGACTTACTTATCGAAACATTACTGAGGGAGGCATCCACTAGTAATAACCCTATTGATTTACCCGAAATTCCTCCGGATTTTTATCTCTAGTTTATAGTGATATTATTAAGGAAAAGAATGATGTTAAAGAATCATTGGACGTTGATACTAACAACAAACGATTGTGGATTGCTTTCGGGCGGTGGTTAGGTTTAAAGAGATCGAAGGGACCGCTAAGAAGAAAACATGTGTGACAACACCTCAGGCTATTATGGAAAAATCTCCAACATGCTTATGTTGAGTTGCAAGACCTCTTCAATTCGGCCACTATACGTAAAAGTCGAAAAGAAAAAACACAGCTTATCGTATCGGCACGAAATAATAACCAATCGCTAGATAAGCTAATTCAACTTGAACATATTTTTGAACCTAAGTGCATTACGGACTTAGGCCACCGAACATTAATTCACTTGGAGAAACTTGATGATCCAGATGCTGTTACAAGTGCATATAACATTGTAAATTGGTACTATTTCCATTTATTAGAAAATCCTTCGCACCGAAGTAAAGAATTTTGGACCAATTTCATTGAGCATTTTGGAGCTTATACAAGAAACAATTTACTTCCCTTCACAAGCTCTAACACTGCGAGTACGCATAACATTAATCATCATGAATGTGTCAATAAATTACTTCAGGGTCTTAAGAAATTATCGGAAAGTGTTAATCAGTTTCTTCAAGAGTATTATGTGGATTTATACACGAAATTAAGCAAATTATCATGGGGTCCATTCGCTCCAAGGGCATTTGGAGTTTTCCCAATGATAGCCATTAACTTTAATACTATTAGTGACTATCATTAGGACGATCATGATGAACCAAATAGTCTGTGTGTTTTAGTCGCACTAGGAGATTTCGAAGGAGGAGAATTATGTTTTCCTCAACTTCAAGTAGTTGTACATCTTCGGCCAGGACAAGTAGTGGCATTTGCATCCCGCCTATTGCTTCATGGTAATTTTACAGTTACAAAAGGCATCCGGCACAGTATTGTATACTTTGTGCATGATACATTCTTTCATAATTTACGGGATTTTGATCCTGCATATATTGAGGCTGGAATTGAGAAAGGTAAGGGGCCAATAGTTTCTGAGCAGGACCTTAATAATGCTCAAGGTTTAAACCATCGCAGGCAACTTTCCAAACCGAAAGCAAAACAAATACAAATCCCCTCCACTGTTTCTGATCGTAGATGAGGATATATAAGTATAAATTATTTTATGATTAATAATATAGTTGTTATCGTTACTAATAATCAATACTTTCATAGATTTAGCACGTGCCCGACGAGGTTTAAGGGCAGAAGATCCACTTCTAGATTTATAGATGTTTTATGTATTATTCAATATATTATAACATTTTGATATTATATCCTTCTGCGAACTATATTCATGTGAAGTGTTAGTGATAATACAAAACTTTATGAAATAAATAAAAATTCGTAAAAATTATTGCCCAAATATGTACATTGAACAAAGTTTATTTATTAGATAGACAAGCCTCTTAAACCCTAACTGCATAATTTAAATATTACGAAATCATATAGCATAATAAATGGGGGTTTCAAAGTTAAAATCAGAAAATTTTACCTATTTATAATTTAACAATAAAAATGTTATTGACGAAATTTTAATTATTTTCGAAATCCATTATTTATTTGCTAACTTTGAAACCCCCAATAATTATTTTTTTCCAACATGAATCAGTATCGAAATAAGACATATAATTTAATGAATACGGGGTTATTTAATGATATTAATTATCGAATTTTATGTGATCTCATATGTCACACGATGTGGTCATGCTAAAATAAAGCTATATATATGTGTTTACAGGTATGATACTGGTATGATATTTCTTACTTGTATTGAATATCCACAGCCTTTATTCTAACTGTTAATGAATTTCGTATAAATACATATTAACCAAACATCTAATACGTATATGTTTTATCCAACATTTAGTGTTTATCACAGTTGAAAATCCAGAAAAATTATTGCTAATATATGCATGACTAGAATGATACATTTGCCAAATGCTCCACTATGCTAAATATGGTGAGCCTCTTTTTCACGAGGAATTGAGAGCTTTTCCTCATAAATATTTATCTATGGCTTATCAGTCAATCCGCCTCTTAAAAACAAAACAATTAGCAACACGTAAAAGATGGACCGGATTAAATAACAATAAGGCAAAACTATCTCCATATATAAATCCTTTTTTGCTTTTTGCAATAAATTTTTTGATTTTTTTTACCAATCCTTCCTTTCTTAAACTAGATTGCTTTTGTGTTGATAAGACGACTACCGGAGCTATTTGTACGGGTATGCTTAGTCAAGCAAAAAATTTCGTCTCTTAATATTGAGCGATAGGGCCTCTGACTATGTGTGTTGTGAGA